CAGCGAAGCTTTGTTATTCCATTTATAGATCACAGACAGAGTCAATTTAGCATAATTCTTAAGTGCCCTAGATTTTTGAATGGTAATTAAGCATTGGCTTCAACTTAACCACCCGCATTAGTCCCTACAAGAGAATCAGCCTGAACTTTGAGCTTTAAAGCCAGGTATTGACTTCTCTCTAGCTAGAAAAGTCTTAAATGGCATCATCTTCTTCCAATATAAGGCTATTTTGTATACACTGAAATTCTGTTTAGGGTAGCTACCTTTATCAAATATCTCCTGGATAATTTGCTGCAGTTTCTACATTAGCACTTGCTGCTTCACCTTGCAACATAACCTTAGCTATGGAGATGGCTTCATTCCTTAAGCTTCATGAGTCAGCCTCTGCTAGCTTCCAACTTTCTTCTGCTTTCTCAGCCCTCTCAACCTTCAGAGAATTCAAGAGAGTTATGACCTTGCTCTAGATTAGGCTTTGGCTTAAGGGAATGTTATAGCTGCTTTGATCTATCCAGACCACTAAAACTTTTTCCATGTCAGCAATAAGGCCATTTCACTTTCTTAATATTTGTGTGTTCACTGGAGTAGCACTTGTAATTTCCTTCAGTAACTGTTCATTGGCATCCACAACTTTGTTAACTATTTGGCACAAGAGGCCTCCTACCTTTTGGCCTCTCTGGGCTTTGGACTTGCCTTCTTTACCAAGCTTAATCAGTTCTAGCTTTTGATTTAAAGTGAGAGACAAAGTGACACTGCTTTTTACTTGAACATTTCTGAAGTAGAAATACTTTTGAGACAGAGTCTTGCTCGGTTGTCCAGGCTGGAGTGCAGTAGCACAATCTCGGCTCATTGCAACCTCCACCTCCCAGGTTCAAGTGATTCTCTTGCCTCAGCCTCCCGAGTAGCTGGGATTTCAGGCATAAGCCACCAAGCCCGGCTAATTTTGTATTTTTAGTAGGGATGGGTTTCACCAGTTCGCCAGGCTGGTCTCAAATTCCTGACCTCAAGTGATACGCCTGCCTTGGCCTCCCAAAGGCCTGGGATTACAGGCTTGGGCCACCTCACCCAGCCAACACATTGTTAAGGTCTTAGAATTAAGGAAACATTTTGGTGAGCATTGAAGACCATTTAATGGCACTTTGAAAACAATCTAGTTATAACTGTTTCCTTCCTCTTTTTTTATTCATTGCAAAATTCTATAGCAACATGAATCAAGTTTCTGTTTTGTTTGAAGAGAATCACTCTTTTGAGCTGCTTCAGCAATAGCAGCTCATCTTGGACTCAATATTCTGGAAGGCAAATGTGCCTTAACCATGCATAAATCAGTCTTACATGTGCTTAGTTTTTGCCCTTTGATCCTTCACAATTTTGAGACATTTGAATTTCTTAATGTCAAAAAGGCTCAAAGTACTAGCTAGAATGATGGCAAAATTCAAAGGTATATGTCTTTGGGTTTGCCCCTGAATCTTCAACAATCTGTCATATTTAAGTACAACTTCTACAAGTTGCCTTTTAATAATGAATCACAACTATTACTACAGTATGCATGGCTTTGTCTAGTTCTAAAAATGTTAAAGAATGGAATATAAGATATAGACTGAGATATGCTTAATTACAATGAATCTATTATATTTAAATATGCCACAGTGTATTCATTTACCAGGTGACTTAATTTCTTCCAAAGTGGTCATCTTAAGAGACTATTCTAATTCCAGGAGTGCTGCCGTAAATATTGCTAGCATCAATTCAGAAAGACCTTTAAGGAGTTTCCT